GGTCTGTTAGGATGCATCTCTTGAATATAGCCAAAATGGTAAAGCGTATCATATAGTCGGCCCCGTCTGACTTTACTACCTTCCTTACTGTTTATTTTTAATTGGCCTGTTAAAGGATAGAAGAAGAAAATTAATCGGCACTGAGAAAGAGAGAGAGAGAGCATTTCCATTTCACCTCCTCTCTTAGAATGTGTTGGGTTAAAACAAAAGACATAAGAAACAAACTCGGCACTGAGAAAGAGAGAGAGTAGTTCCATTTCACCCCCTCTCTTAGAATGTGTTGGTTTAAAACAAAAGACTTAAGAAACAAACTCGGCACAGAGAAAGAGAGAGAGAGAGCAGTTCCATTTCACCCCGTCTCTTAGAATGTGTTGGTTTAAAACAAAAGACTTAAGAAACAAACTCGGCACTGAGAAAGAGAGGCAGAGTAGTTCCAAGAGGTCCTCTGTATATATAAGACCCTAAAGACAACTTAAATGTTCTATATACAAAAAAAAATGAGGCTTTCGGGAGGTTTTGAAAAAAAATATGAGCTACAAAAGGTATTTTTACAGGAGATATCTTACATACACAAATCACTTTGATTTGATTTCTATAAAAATATACAAACTTATTTTTAGACATTTAGATATAAAATACAGTGGTTTCAATACCACAAACAAAATAATCGTTTAAAATAAAATCAATCAATACTGTCATCATGGTTTGTTTATCTGCCGGTCTGTCTGTCTGTCAACACCAAAAAAAAACGAACAATTAAATCCACAAAACTCATAAACTCCACAACTATACGATGCCAACAAAACTCAATTGTGATTAATAGTTTTTTTGATTTAAAAATAAAGATTTTTTCAATGGATATTTGTGTTTTGTTCGCACGCCAAAAAAAAAGTTAACCGACCGTCATCATTATCTATATTATCGATAAATCGAATGGCTGTTTACAGCGATCATTAATCAACATGGAATTATAAAGCTGTTGATTTGAAGTGACACAATTTTTGTTGCTGGCAAAAAAAAAGATTAAAGAAAAGAAACAACAAAATAATAATGCTTAAATATGTGACACTGTCCGGGGTGCAAAAAATAAAATATGATGATAATAATAGCAAGAAAAATAAGTATAATGATCATCTATTGATCCAAATTACTAATGAAAATGTTTTGAATCAATTTAACTACTTTAAATAAATTGAAAAATTAAAAAAAAATAAAATAAATAAATAAAAAATAATATATATATATATATATAATTGAAGAGAGCCAACTTGGTTGAAACAAATTAAAGTTTGTTTCTTAAGTCTTTTGATATCCACTTCCAGCAGTCACAGCTTGTAAATGTTACATCCAAGCAATTATGTGAAAACACTTGTTTTTATTTGGTAGAAGTTCCTGATAAGATTGGCTGTGAACGTGGAAATGATTTGTAAACTTGCAAGAGAATTCAGTTTTGTTTCCGTTTCATTTTGTGATTTCCTTTTGAGTTATTTTCCAAATGCATAAAAATGAACAAAAATTAATCCATTTGTAATAATTCGTCTAATTATAGGCGTAGATTTGTTAAAAATATTTTCTTAAGTCTAATTTGATGTATGGAGTCTTCAAAATTTTTTTTTCAAAACATGGAGTTTTAAAATTTCTTTTCCAAGGCGTGGATTTAAAAATATTTTTGAAGACGTGAATATTTTTAAGAATATTTTTTCAGGGCATTTATTTTTTTAAAATATTTATTCAGGGCGTTAATTTTTTTTAAAACAATTTTTTCAGGGCGTTAATTTTTTTAACTATTTTTTCAGGGCGTTTATTTTTATACCCTACACAACTATGTTGTCAGGGTATTATAGCTTTGTGCAGCCCCAAAAGTTTGTAACGCCGCGAAATATTGGTCCTAGACCCAAATTTAAGTATACCGATCGTCATATCTCGACTAGCTGAGTCGATCTAAACATGTGTGTCCGTCCGTCCGTCCGTCTGTCCATTATAATTTGTAAACACGATACAGGCCACAGTTATGGACCAATCTTCACGAAATTTTGCATGTAGAATGGGTTCTGGCCAATGAAGACCCCTATTGTGTTTGGAAAAGATCGGGTAATATTTAGGGGTTGAAATGGACCAAAAACTTTATTTTTGTCCGTTTTTCTGGTCGCTCCAGAGGCCTTAATTATGACCCAAACACCGGGTATTTTTGCATGGAGAAGGGGATTGGGCCAAAGAATAAGCATGCCTGTTTTGATAAAAATCGGTCAATATTTAGCGGGTCAAATGAACCCTGACTTTTGTGTGAAAAATTACCAAATTTGTTATTGTATGGCGTATATATTTACTCCTGAAGTACTTAGACCCGAGAAGTTGATAGTGTATCGAAGAGGAGTGGTTGACCATTAAATTGATACCAATTATATTGTCATATGTATTCGGATGTGGGAGGTACAGGTGCTTACGTGGGAGGTACAGGTGCTTATGTGGAAGGTACAGGTGCTTACGTGTTTATTCCATTACCACACTATAGGGCGGAAATATAGCGCTGATCGCTTTGTAATTTTCCATGAGATTCCCGTTATGGTCAACGACAACGCCTATAATTTTCGGTGATGATCAGATAATAATTTTGGGATAAAGTGGACCGAAAACTTATTTTTTTGTGTTTTTGTTTTCGAGTCGATCTACAATTGAAAATACCACATCACAACATAACCCACGGTAAAGAGAATCTGGACAAGTAAAGTCTACTGAATATTAGAAATATTTATTGACATCTAGTCAGTCAAGAGGCTGCAAATATCGCGAAATATTGCCCAAGCTCAGAATATACATCCACAGAATGTTAGATTTTCGTGGAAGTTGTGTAGGGTATCATATGGCCGGCCCCGCCCGACTATACTGCTCCGCTCACTGGTTTAAAAATATTTTTTTTCAGTTTTATTTTGATATTTTTTTATAACACTTGTTTCCAGGCAACTTTAGGGGGGAATTTTTAAAACCATTTTAACAAGTCTAGCTTTAGATTTTTTAAAAATATTTCGAAGTCAAATTTTTAGGCAAGAATATTTTGAAAATATTATTTTTCATTGAATTTTTTGGCAATAATTTTTAAATATATTTTTTTTTCAAATCTAATATATTTTGTTCATATCATATTTTAGATGCGGATTTAAACAAAAATCGAGTCTAATTTTAGGAATGGGTTTTTTCCAAATTAAGGTCAAATTTGAAGCATGGATTTTTAGAAATAGTTCTTCAAATCTAAATCCAGTCTAATTTTTTGCAAATGATTTTTGAAATATATTTTCTTCAAGTCTAATATTTTGCGTGGTTTTTATAATTATATTCAAGACGAATTTTAAAAATATTTTTTCAAATCTTAATTTTTGTAGCGAAAGTTTTAAAAATATTTTTTCTAGTCGATTTTCAGGCGTGAATTTTTTAATTCGAATTTTTCAAGACTAATTTTAGGCGTGGACTTTAAAAAAAATATTTTTTTAAATATTAGGTGTAGATTTTTTTAAAATATTTTTTAAGTCTAATTGTGGGCGTAGATTTTTTAAAGATAGTTTTTTAAGTCTAATTGTGGGCGTAGATTTTTAAAAAATATTTTTTTAAGTCCAATGGTGGGCGTAGATTTTTTAAAAATATTTTTTTAAGATCCTCCGTCAAGCGTAGATTTTTTAAAAATATTTTTTTAAGTCTAATTGTGGGCGTAGATTTTTTAAAAATATTTTTTCATTTCTCATTTTACGTGTGGATTTAATATTTTTTCAAGTGACATTTTAGACGTGAATTTTTTGAATATATTTTTTTCATGTCTAATTTAAAAAAAAAAATTAATTAAATTTAATTAAGCTTGGATTTACTAAATTTTTTGTTTTGATGTCTAACTTTAGGCGTGAATTGTATAAAAATATTTTTTAAGTAGAATTTTAGGCTTGATTTTTTTTAAATATTTTTTTAAAGACTTATTTAAATTAACAAATATATATTTGCTCAAAACGGATTTCGATTTTCTGTACTCGACATTTTATTTAACACAATCATACAAATATTTGGATCATAAAAACTAATTACCCACTTATTCGGCATAATTTCCAATTAAAAGTGATTTTAAATGTTAAATGGGTTTATATTTACCTGTAAAGAAATCAAAGAACATGAGATTAGTAAGGTTAGGTTTTAGTCCTCGTAATTAGTCTTACGAAGTAATTTAATTAAATGGTTTACACGCAACATAGGTAGTAAAATTAATTTTTATGGCCGCACAAAGTTAAACCCTAATTTTTAGGTCAAGTGATTAGGACTGGTAAAATTTCTGAGAAATAAGTGATTTTTCGCAGAGCGAGAGAGAGAGAGAGAGTGATAGCGAGAGGCACATCAGAGAGTATCTTTATTCTATAGGCGTACACAGGACGTTAAAAAACCATGGGAATGAAATATTGTCTCAGAGAGAAAGAGAGAGTGAGAGAATGTGGCTAGAAATGGAGGGTAGAGGAAATAGAGTGTATATTCACATTTGATTCAGGGCTGGTAAATTCCTCTCACGCTAAATCCTTGCATCTCGTATACATTGATAAGCCATTGAATTGAAAATATTTGTTATAAAATTTTAAAGAAATTAGAGCTAGAGCAGAGAGAGAAAGAGAGATGGATATAAAAGAGAATTGGAAATAAAAGAGAGTTTTAATAACACAAATTCTTTAGATGACATTTATATTCTCTGAGAGAGACTTTATATTAATTCTATGCATCGTTAAACTAGAAACATGAGCAAATCTCAGAGAAAGAGAGAGAGAGAAATACAAACGCGAGAAGAGATAAAAACAATTTTAATCAAAAATTTGTCTTTTCTTTTCTTTACAGTTATTGAACACCAGCCGATCGAAAAACATGTCCAAGGAGTGTTAAAAAATCATTAAAAAAATATCAAAAAGACTATAAACCAAGGAAATCACACAAAAACAACAACAACAGTATTACCAGTATCAAAAAATTCCCTTCCGATCACCATGAAGTTCAAAGTAAAAATATTATTATTAACGATATTAGTGGGTTGCACCATCACCGCCGTATATGGCGATAATGAAGATCCCACCTTGGAGACAAGTGCAGACAATATTAGTGCCGCCTCCAATGACCCAACCACATCCAATGAAGAAATCTATGAACCCGAACTGATACAACAACAGGTTGAAGAGGCTCAACGTATACTCCACGATTTAGATATGGAAATGGAAACAGAGACAGAAATCTCGATGAAGACGGTGCGTAATATTTCCGATAATCAATTGAATTCGGGTTATGCATCTTCTTCGTCATCGTCGTCCTCCACCTCCTCTGAGGATATTCCCATATCCAAACAAAAGGATGACGATTATGTGAATGATTCACAATTGTCTAAAGAAGATAAGCAGGATGAAGATCAGGATCTACTACATGTAAATAAATCTCGTATGGGTCGTCTACTACCCAATCCAACATCTGGGACCAACTCACCAGCACCTCCCACCCACATTCCAGACTATATACGCCAAATGAAACCCAGTGATGAAGATGAAGACAATAATTCTCAAGAAGCTGCAAATCTCTCCCTTGCCGATTATACCGATGACACCATCAGTAACAACAACAGCGAACCTCAACATCTAAGAAGTTCGGGCCAACAACCCAGCATCGATTATGATGAGCCAACGCCACAGGCCAAAGAAAATGAGGACATTGTCCCCCTGGCGATGCGTTACTATGACGGAGAAACCAATCAAGAGGTGACAGCAGCTGCTTTGCATGACAACAACAATAATAACAATACCAACAATGACAGCAACGATGACGATGATGACTATCACGAAAGTGCTGGTGAAACCAATCGCCTAAACAATGAACCCATACCCATGCCCCAGGTCCAACCACAACAACAATGGCCAGTGCCACAACAAAGATCATTTGCATTACCCACAAATAATGAGGCCTCAGTACCACCACCACCACCACCATCCTCTGCACAGAATAGTTCGGAAGAATATTATGATGAGGAAGTGTCATCCCGTGAAGATGAATTGATGGTAACCACAACGGCTGCCGGAGCAGCAGCCATAACGCCCACCAGTCAAACAAATAGCGAACCTCGTCCAACAATGGTAATACTTGCTGCCGGTTTCCCCCTGGCCTATCAACCGACCACAAGTGCTCCAGTACCACAACGCTCCAATAACCAAACACCACCACCAGCACTAATGACACCCGCATCACCAACTTTTGGGCCAACAACACCACCATATCCACTAATTGCCTCTGCCATGGCGGCTGCAGCAGCTGCTGCCTTACCCACCACCGGTGACAAAAAAGGCAAACAAATACCCATTGTAGCCACGACAACAACAAAAACAACGGCGACTACAACGACGTCGACAACAACATCAAAAACCCTTCCCCCACCGCCTCCTCCCCCCATTGTACCCGCCATACCGACCACCATTAAGACCATTAATGCGGTAGCCGGCACCAGTCGACGTCACTTGTTGCCACACGAACAATTGCGTAACTACATCGAAGATGCCTACATTCGGATGCCACTTGCGGTTATTGTCGATCCATCGTCGGAATCATTGGAAAAGACGAAGGCCTTGTGGAATGAGGCATTGCGTGCAAATTTAAATATCAAAATTATTTTGGTTACATTGAATGAATCGGGTAAGTTTTTTTGGAAGGAAACGAAAAAAACAACAACAACAACAAAATGTGGATATATTAACGATGATAAATGTTAGTTGGGGATATTAGGGTGGTCCGAGATCAACAGGAAAAAATTAAAAGTTATTTTTTTTTTTTAACAAAAATCATTAAAAACTGGATTGACAAGAAGTAAAGGCAACTTGAAGTTGGATCAGATCGAACTTATTATAACCTCAACCATGAGGTGGACACACAAAAATCGGAAAAAAATCGATCGGAACGGGACTTTCATATGGGGGCTATCCAATGTTAAACTTTTGCTGGGTTAAGATTTGAGGTCGGTTATATGATTTTCACCTAGAAATTTTGGGACAATTCTAAAAAAATACCGAAATTCGGAAGGTACCAATATTAACAATTTTTGGTAGATAGATTTGCTATAATGAGATGAGTATCCATAGTACAAAATTACAGACGATTCCGAAATGTGAGTCGACGATGCTTCCGACAGATATATACTACCAGCTTATGACTGACATTTTTCCCGACTTATGTATGTTATTTTGGGTAGTTTGGGAGGCCTAAGGAATCACTGTCCAAAGGTCGAGGTGCACAATTTCGTACTTATAATAGTTGACCATATGTGGGGGGTACCTGCAGAAGTCGCCCAATAGACCCTATATTTATATTGCATTTACAAATTTCCAAAATTTTGATCATTTGAGGTGGAAGTACCAGAAGGACTAGATCTGTGTCTCCTAAAAATATATTAATAAGGAGTGGATTGACAGGTCCCAAATTACGACTAGATATAGGTTTGATTAAATTATTACGATATGCAATTAGTGAATCCAAGCGGATACTTCATTCGCTTCAGATAAAATTTACATGTTTTTAAAATGTGAGTAGGTGCCAGAAGTGGTTGGGGAGGCAGCAGAAGGGATGGGTCCCAAAACAAAATATTACTATGTGCACATTATTATAGATCAAATCGGACACTCCACTGAATCATTTGATGGACGGAAGGTAGCAGAAGGAATGTAACGAAAGGTGACATCTTCGGACTTGTTCTATGTCTGGTAAAAATAAAGATTAGATCCAATCGAACACTTCATTCGCTTGCCACTGGATCAAACAATTTTCAAAAATAAGGTTTATATTCGAAGGAGTGGATCGATGGGCCAATACTTAAGTATTCACAAAGTTTTTTTTTTTTTTAAATTATGTTGTGCAAGCAATGAATCGAATCGAATACTCCATTTGCTTCATGTGAAATTAACATGTCTTTTTTAAATGTGGGGCCATATCAGAAGTGGTTTGCGGGGCATTAGAAGGAGTGGATCTAATCGAATTTAAACATTTTCAAAATGTTTACACTTTTAGGGGAGACCGATGAAACCCATATTTGGAAGTGATTTAGTTTTAGAAAAAATTATAACAATCTGTAAAGTTTGAATCAAATCGGATACTCCATGCGCTTCATAGTGGATTTTCACCCTTTGTGGGGAAGGTACTAGTAGTGGGTCGATTGTTAAAATTTTGGCTCAAATTCGATAGTTTTTTTATAAAATGATGCTAACGAATAACATTATAAAACTAATTTCCAGTAAATTTTGGACCATTTTGTTGGGGAGGTACTAGTTGGAGTAGACCTTATTTTTCATCTTCGAACATGATTTAAGTTTGGAAGAAATATTACGAATGTTTAGATTAAATCGATTAATCCCTTCGAAAGTTATTGTGCGCACCAGAAGCCAGCCAGGCAGACAGACGAGACGACTCCTAATTGTCTGCAACGGAAAATTTGGGGATGATGTCCTTATGTTTTCGATTCGGTTGGATAGTGTTATACAATAAAATCTAAATATTTGAGTATTTCGGAAAAAAAGTTTACAAGCGTTTTTTATTAACCAAAAATCCGAAATGCCAAATTACATCCACTTCGGTAGGAAAAATGTGACTGAAACCTTCAAAATACCGGTAATGGGGTGGTGATATGGTGTCCATACCAAAACACGAACCTATTTCGAAAATGATCTGCAAATATGGTTTTCCCCCAATAAAAAAATCAGAATGTTAAATTATTTGCACTTCATTAAAAAATGCGTCTAATATGGGAGTAAATTTTCTGAAAATATATTTTTTAACACCCCTTGAACCTGGGGTGTCTAATACATTTTCTTTGTTGAGAAAATGCGACTAAAAACTTCAAAATATCGGTAATGAGACTCCATTGTTCTAAGAAAAATATGGAGCTATATCGGCTATATTAGGTTTATAGGTGTATGCCTACAGGAATCGGAAATATCGCGTTTCCGTCTGTTGGAAAAATATGAGTAAAACCTTCAAAATACCAAAAATGGTGCGTCACCTCTAATATGCGGATATGTCAAAATTTAGGCATATATTGACCCTTAAAAAATATCGAACAAATTTAAAATGGGGTGGGTATTTTATAGTGGTGCAATGTGAAAACCAATTTTCTGCAAAGATGTTTTCACACTCCAAGAACCCAGAATTACATCCACTTTGTTGGGGGAATGCGACTAAAGACTTCTAAATATCGAAAATGAGAATCAGTCATTTTATGGAGGTCATGCCAAAATATGGTACTATAATGATTATATTGGAAATAGATGTATGTCAGCATCCAAAAACCTGAAATGTGGCTAAAACCTTTTATGTCACACTCCAAGAATCCGAAAATTACAGCCACTTCGACTGGAAAATAGGAGCTACACCGATATATGTGTGAAATTCTCAAGGCTCTATCTAATCCGATTTGCGAGATCTAGCCTGTTCAAAAATATAGGTTGGTCGTGTTTTGGCGGGAACTTCGATTTTTACTTATATTTTTAAACTTTGAGCATGGGCATTTCTTAGGAGCTATTGAACATAATCAATGATCTTAAAAAGCTCAAGAAATAGGGTCATCATGGATGTTTGGACATTAGATTGAAATCAAAATCCAATCTGCTCAATGGACGTCCGAAGAGGCAAAACCGAAGAAATACCTCATGTTCGAAAGTTTTGCTATTTTTTTCCTCGACCGGTCGGTCATAAAGAATACTCCCCTGAAGTTATACGCCCTTTGTGAAGAGCAATTCGACCGAAAAGTACAGAATTATGGAAAAATGAATCATGGATTTTGCACCATTGGGCAACAAATGGTTAATAAGGAGATCATATCAAAATATGATCCTCTAATAAACCGAAAAGTACAGGTTCGGTTGAAAAATTTAGCTAAGAGGTTTATAATTCCGAAACTGGTGCTGAGTCATCATATTTACTATTCCTGACGCAAGGACGACACAAATAGTTTTCGTTGAAAATCAAATAAATTTTAGGAGATCAATTGGACCGTATTCGCTAATCGCTCTATTGATTACGATCCGGGAACACTGGGAAGGGGATTTGGTCAACATTTAGCATTCAAATCGTTTTATAAGGTGGATATTTAAAAATACAATGACTATATATGTTGACAACATGTGAAATAGGGTCTGCAGTCCTATAAATTTATATCAATTGTCTTAAAGGATAATGGTTGGATATGGGATTCAGAGTTATATTATTTGAGGGTTATATATATGGGGGTTATATATATGGGGTAGCAGTAGCGAATGTTTGACTTGATCGGAATTTAACACTGCTAAAATTTAATTCCAGTGGTAGTTGTGTAGGATATTACAAGGTCGGAACCTTCCGAATATACAGCTTTGCATACTGTTTTCTACATAATTACATTTTCATCTGACCACCCTAATATATGAATATTTCGCAAAATAAACATTACCACAATACTGAGAGTAGCAACATCATTAAATGTAATGTTTATAGTCAATTGAAACATACGTTTTTATTAAGGAAAAACATCAGCAATGGGAAATATTTTAATGAATAAAAACATTAAGTGATACTCTTCTGTACTCAACTCTCAATAATTTATTACACTCTTAAAAATCTTGTATATTGCAAAAAATCAGTGAAAAAATAGGAACAGATAACATGAATAGTAGCTATGCTCAAACACATTCACTGTGATACATTTCTCTTGTAATGTTGGGGTTTCTATATAATTGTCTCAACACGACTGGCCTAATTTTTTCATATTTTGGTGTTTTATCTAATGTCCTTTAATATCAAAAATAAATTTAGCGCCAAAAACATATGTCAAAGACGGAATCTTAGAGGAACAGCTGTTAAGAAATTGCCACATTAGGGATATTTAGGTCAGTACACCGATAACAATCGTTTACACTACGTTTTTACTGCCAGCACTGGTTGAGATTCAATTTTCTTTTAAGAGAAAATCGACCTACTCTATTCCCTCCCGAACATCTGTCTTTAATTTATTTTCATTTCTCTCTCCCACTCTTTCAGATATCCCAGCGGCATTTAATTTCAACAACTCCCGACAATTTCTCACCGGTTTGAATAGCATCAAAGAGCATGAGGGTGGTGATGCCTTCCGTGGCATATCCCACGCTGCCGAATTGGTACCCTACGACAGTGCCGTATTCATATCGACAGCAACATTGGCCAATCATACGGATCAAGTGCATGATGCAGCCATAACATTGTTGAAAAAGAGAATAAGGGTTTGTAGACACAAACTTTTTTTATTTTTTTTTTAGAAATCGAAAAATAATACTAATTATTTTAATAATTTATTTTTTATAACATTCAGCTCTATCTCATTTGGTTCGGTGAACGTTCGCTAAGCGAAAATGAAACCCAAGAAACGGTTGGAGGTATTTTGGGTGAGGTAGCCATACGTTCAGGCGGTGAAGTCTTGCACATTGTGGGCAATGAAAATTCCATGGAATTGGAGGGTAGTACGGTAAGTTAAGGCGAAATGTGTGTTATGTGTTTAGTTTGTAAGCAAATCAAAAAATATTGAAAATATTTATATTTAATCTTTAAAAGCTTATATGTAAATATATCTATATATTGTTAATTAGATTAAGTACAGATTTAATGATTAAATATTATATTAAAATAAATTGGAAAAATTTATATAATAGCCTAAAAAGTTATGCACTTTTTAATAAAAACATGACAACAAACATTTTATGAATTTGTGTGTACAGTCCTAATTATTTAAAGCGGTGTACACACTATCGTTTTTGAATGGCAACTCTTTTATCGATTACTGACTAGGGTTAAGTAAATCGACTTTCGTCTAAACGACTTTTTGTATTGAAAAGTCTAAAAGTCGAAATCGTAAAGTCGACTTTCGATTTTTAACATAAATAATTGGTTTTTATCACAACGCTCAAATTGCCCAATAATTGCACTTTCCGGAACTTTACATTATCTGTTAACAATAATTCATATAAAAAATTAAATTTTTAGACGATTTTGCAGAAGTCAGTAAATGTTGATAATCGATTTTGAACAGTTTTGACAAAAATCGAAAGATCGAAAAGTCGACTTTTTAGACAATGGCAAAAATCGGAAAGTCTAAAAATCGACTTTTTGGTCTGAGGAAAAATCCAAAAATCGTATCCATATTACTGACTGTCCAATAACAACGAATATTTTTCTGGTTGCCTAATAAATGACGAACACTATCAAACAAGCAACATTTGGACAAGAGTGTCATAGAAAAGAGATAATGTGTACACCGCTTAAAGATACAGCCAAATTGAATTCTCTCAAATTATTGCATATTTTCGATTCTTGTCTGTGAGAATAATTTTAGGGCAATTTTAGGGTAGGGCATTATAACTAAGTTTGTGTGACCTCAAGAGTTTGTAAAGCAACAAAATAGTGGCACGGAACCCACCTCTCAACACATCTCGACTAGCAGGAAACGATCTAGCTAAGTGTGTTCGGTCATACGCCTGTCTGTCCATTATAATTTATATTTAATGAGCAGACGACAAAGGTGAAACCTAAAATATTTGGTAATGGTTCGTTAATATTATGAGGGAAAAAATGGGCCAACGACTTTTTTGTCCCGTTTTCTACCTAATTATGACTCAAACATCAGGAAATTTTACATTCGGAAGTGGATTATGGCCATTAAACAATGTATACCATGTGATTAACAATGCCTTTTGGGTTTCAAATGATATGGATATAAGATTAATCGGTTGATTATAACCGGTACAAAAATCGGGGTTATTATCTGAAAATCCGGTTAAATATTTAGCTATGCGTGTCTGTCTATCCGAATCCGATAATTCATCATAATTTGCAATTTATTCGAAATGTATTAGAGCTCGTTGAAATATGATTTTCTAATCAATTATCGGATAAAAGTGGAAAAGGACAATTAAAACATACGAATATCGATTTATTGACTTCGGAACCTATCTAAAATCTGTTGAGCAACATTTTTACCAACGATTTTGAGGTCAAAAATCTCTTCTTGTGGTAGTTAGTTTGCGGTTTATGAAAATAAGGACAGCATATGTGCATAAGGACTGGATATTTTTAAAGGATTTGATTGAAGACATGTCATCTCAAAAATAACCTGCAATAGCCTAAACAAAGATATAAAGGTTGTTCTTCGTAAATTTGGATTTTACCAGCATACCTATATCGAATTTGTCCTTCTGAGATCTTAATATATTCGGCTTGAATCTCGATTTTGTCGCATAGTGTAAATAAACATAACATATTTTACAGAAAAAAGGTGACAATAGCAAACAATTCACAATAGTGATTATCATGGCTAGTCGTTATAATATCAACAAACATACTCTCTTTTTGGACCATAGGTATTTTGTACAATTTCGGTTTTTTCAACCAACTTGGATCTTATTTGATTTTTTCGTATTCCCATTTGAATCTTCTTAAACAAATTGTTAATATTGGTCTACTTTTTACTGTAAAATGCCGGTATATTGAAAATTTTGGGCAAATAATTCAACCAAAGTGGTGTAATCTAGTATTATGGATTTTTATTGTAGAAAAAATCTCCCTAAGAACAATTATCAATATTGGTACTCGATTTAAACTCCCATCATTCACAATAGGCTATTAATAATGCCACCCAGGTAGAGAACAAGATCTGGCTTTGCTCAAGTTTAATGATCAAATTTGGACGTTATTTAGCCTCTAAAGATATGAAATCAATTCATAATAATTTATTATGCCAGCAAACTTAAGAAACAGCTGATCTTCCGAGTGCATAGGGTAGCGTTGCCATTGGGCTGAAATTGTTTTTCATCATTAAGAAATTCCCAAATGTGTATTAGGTAAAATTATTTCGATTATATTTAAATCACAATAACAAACAATTCAAAATATGTTTATATTGAGAAAATATTAGTGATCGAAATGGAGTATTTCATCATTTCATTCACAATAGTTACTTTTGAATAAGGGCTATTAAAAAGGTCCCTCAGAAAGAATAAACCAGCAGTTTTTAAAATCAAAAATATAAACGACATTTATATTCTCTTAATGTGAACCCCATTCACAATAATAGATTTGGGCAGCAAAATTGAGAAGCAACTCATTTGATCAGGAAGTCATTTAGATCATGTGAAGTAAATTCACTATAATGGATTTGCATAGCAAACTTCAGAAGCAGTTGATTTGATCAGCTGATTTTCCTGGTGACCTTATTAATACGAATTGTATTATTTCAATTATTTTTCAATAAAGTAACACAAGAAGAATCAAGGCCTAATAATGTCATCCAGGGAGACCAGCTGCAGATCAGCTGCTTCTGAAGTTTCTTATCAAAATTCATTATTGTGAATTGACTTTCATTATGAAAACGTAAACAAAGTCAATTTTTTTACCATTTACTATTAGAAAAAGCACCTGATTTTCGCTTGCTGGGTGACCTTATTAATAGATCTTGAATAAAATATTTCACCATTATATTCACAATAGTTATTTTTGAATAAGTGTTAGTAATAAGGTGACTCAGGAAGAATAAATCTGCAATTATTTTAATATTAAAAATGTGAACGTCAGTTAGATTTTCATATTGTGAAGTCAATTCACAATAGTGAATTTGGACAGCAAACCTCAGAAGCAGATGATTTGATCTGCTGAATTGCTTTTGAATGTACAAAAACAACTAGATTTATCTCATGGCCTTTTCAATAAGGTAACCAAGGATGGGTTTCCAAAAGAGACATTTGTTAAACTGTGAAAATGGATCGACTTGATAATTTTCCTGAACTTTGTTGAAACTACAAATTACTGTTGGTATGTTATTGTGAATGGACAAAACAATTAATAATGCGAATTTATTTAAATAGATCAGAACTAAATTTCATTCACAATAATAAAATCTAACAATATTTTTTTTTTCTGTTGAATGACGATCAGCTGTTCCGCAAATTTACTGTCAAAATACATTATTGTGAATTGACGTGATAATAGGTTTAAGCAAAAGTCCAGTAAAAGTGAGTGAATTGAGAGAGAAAATTTGAGTATTTCTTAATTCTTACTAGAAAAATTTATCCAGTAATGATTTTCCAGTATGATCAGCTGATATTTTATCAGATGTTCAATTCTTTAGAAATAACTTGATTTTGTATCATTTAACATTAAAATGGTACAAGAAAATGCAAGTACAAATAGAAATAAATAATACAAATAACAGATTTTCTCTTACTATTATTTTTTTCTAATAAAAATTACACACGAACATACCATATACAGAAAATACGTGGTGAAAATCTAAGGGCTATTAATATTGTCATCTAGGCAGACCCACTGTTTCTCAAGTTGGCTCTCAAAATCCAATATTGTGAATTGATTTCCATTATGAAAACGTAAACAATGTGCATACTTTTTACATTCGACTTGAGAAAAAACAGCTGACTTTCGTTTGATACACAAAGATCAGCTGTTTTCTAAATGTAATGTCAAAATTAATTATTGGGAATTGAAATATGTTAGACTTGTTAAATACAAATGGATAATAAATGCTACCCCCTCTAATACATCAATTTGTATATTCTAAATACTCCTCTATCGCACTCTATATTTTTTTCTATGGTAATATTATTGCTCTAAGCTATCATACCGTACAACAAAGTAATTTAATCTGACGCAAAAAAAATAAAATTGAAAGTAAAAACTATTTATTATGATGCTGACGCTCAGCATTAGTGCAAAACAGTTATGGATAGAGAGAAACCCTTCTTCTTCTCCTCCTCGTGCTCACCCGAATAATGATGGCAACAATGAATCGGCATCTTCAGCAGTAGCTAACCTACCTAGTGGCGCACATTTGAAAACTTGGTTCCACTTGGAGTTGAGAAGCAGAAAAAAACGCATAGCAAAAACACACATGTCTTCTAAAGTGAATGGCTGGTGGATGGATGGATGGTGGCACAAAGTATTGATATCAAATATGCAATATTATTATTATTTTGTTTCACGCATAAAAATTTCTTAAAGGAGATTTTGAAATTGCTTAGATTACAAAATGAATGGTTGTTGGGACAGATACAATGGAACATTTTTTTAGAGAGGTTGTTTTTAAAGGGATTTATATTAATGGGAATTTCAAATGAAAGTTAAGGAATGTCAGCTAAGATTTCAGTTTTAAATTTATACATTATTTATATACCTATTTAATAAATATTATTTAAATATTAAACTAATAATAATAATCTTGCTCTGTTTTCAGCTCACAATTGTAGCGGATGCCTTGCGTGGTTCCCAGGAGCTGGATGTACCCGTTGATACCACACTATCCAGTTTACATGTGAAAATTGACAAACTGATGCGAAGGGCGGTATTGGAAACGCCCAATGGCGGTTAGTTATGGAACAAACAATTTTTATATACATAAATTTCACACACATACAAACACACACACACCCCTGCTCTCTTTTTTTAATTTATTTTAATTGTTTTATAATAACAAAACAAAAAATCCATTTATATATGTTTAATATGCACAAACAAACACACACACAAATTATATTTAATTATTTGTATTTTTGTCCTTTCTCTCTCTATGTCATCTGTCTCTTCTTCTATTTTGTATGTTTAATTTTATTTTTTTTATATTAAAAACAAACAAAAAACAATTATGTTTACTAACAGCTATAAGGTAGTTAAGATAATATTCACCTTAATATTATTAAGGTTTGTTTAACACATAATGAGCTTTAATTATTGAAAGAATAATCGAATAATTTCAATAAAAAATATATATACATATTCATAAATAATATTTAAAATATACAACGAAGTATGATAATCTTTTTGGAAGGAGAAAATTTTCGAATACTCATGAGAAATTTTTCAATGAAAAGTAAAACACATTGGCATGGGATTAAATTTCAATTTTGTAGGGTATTTTTTGTTAAAATGTGTCTAGAGATGTATACTATTGTGAATGAACAAGTATTTCTTAATTGATATAACAGAATACCCAAAAAAAAACACATAAAGGTTTATTATTAAGGTCACCCAAGGAGAACAGCTGTAAATCAGATATAGTAATAAGATCAAAACTTTGCCTTTTTTCGTTTTCATAATGGGAGTTAATTCACAATAAGGGATTTTGACAGCAAACTTTAAAAACAGCTGATATCAAGTTGACATTCCTTGATGACCTTCTCAAGTATTATTGTGAATAGACTTCCCATTATGAAGACAAAAATAACGTCCAAATTTTGGACATTTAACATGAGAAATTTCAAATGTTTTCCGAGTTCAATTGCTACCTGGATGATAGACTTTGGAAAATACATATATAGTTAAACAATTGTGAATGGCCAATAATCCCTGAGTACACAAAATATTAATAAAATTAACAGTGTTCATATATGAGCAATATTTCCTGTCAAAGGGCTTTCAGAAAGGCAGTCAGTTGTCAATCTATTGTGAATTAACAATTTAAAAAAAAATATTGGTGTAATCTGTTGTACAGTGTTCTTTTTATGAATAATATTTCACCGTAAAACGTTTTTAAAAAGACAGCCATCTATTGTAAATTAAGAATAGTTTCATATTTCCGAACACATTTCCCTTTTAGAATACAACCATGGCCTGTAAATAAGATCACCCAGGAAGATCAGCTGTTTCTCCAGATTGCTGTCAAAATACAATGTTTATTTACACCATAGCCTATTTATAAGGTGGAACAGGAAAACCAAATGACAAATTTCTATTTTGAATCCATTTTCGATCTATTTAAAATGTCGAATAGGAAGACCAAATGATATCACCCATTGTGACATTTTTAATTGGTTTGAATGTAGGTCTATTAATAAGGTCATCCTAGAACACCAGCTGGATATCAGCTGCCTCTGAAGTTTGCTGTCAAAATCGAGTATTGTGAATTGACTTTCATTATGAAAACGTAGACAAATTTCAACATTGACTTGAGCTGACTTTCGATTTCAGAAAATAACATATATACTCTCAAGATCTATAAATAAGGTCACCCAGCTAGTGAAAGCCAGCTGGGAAGTCAATTTACAATAATGGATTTTGCAGAAAATAACGTATATACTCTCAAGATCTATAAATAAGTTCACCCAGCTAGTGAAAGCCACCTGGGAAGTCATAATGGATGTCAATTTACAATAATGGATTTTGACAGAAAACTTAAGAAGCAGTTGATCTCCCTGGATAGCCTAATTAATAGGACATGAGTTGAATGTTACAAAGATGGACGTTTTTTATGTTTTCATATTACCAAGTAAAGTCACAATAGTATATTTTGACAGTAAATTTTGTGAAACAACTGATCTGCATTCAAAATAAAATAATGTTACATGTTATTATTGTAAATGGAAGTTAACACAGATATTTATATTGAATTTTTTATATTTTATTTTATTAATAAATAATTTGCTGTATCAATTTGTCCATTCACAATAGTAAAACAGTATTAATTTCAACGAAGTTCAGGAAAATGGTTAAGTCATTCAACCTTCACAGTATAACAAAATATTAACAGCTGATCATTCCTAAGATTTATTAATGTCAGCCAGCTAGCAAGAGTCAGCTGTTTTTTCTCAAGTCAAATGTAAAAAATGTGGAATTAGTTTACGTTTTCATAATGGAGGTCAATTTACAATAATGCATTTTGACTGGTCTCCCTGTATGTTCTATAAGCCTTGCCAAACTTTGGTATTGTAGGCTTTAAAGAAGAACAGCTGATCGCACTTCGAACTGTCAGAATTAATTCTATTTTGAATTATTCGTATGAAATTGGTTGCTGGAGGGAAGTTTTTTTCATGTAAAAAATGTGAAATTTATTTACGTTTTCATAATGGAAGTCAATTCACAATAATGCATTTTGACTGGTCTCCCTGTATGTCCTATATGCCATGTATACTTTGGTATTGTAGGCTTTAAAGAAGAACAGCTGATTGCACTTTGAAATGTCAGAATTCATTCTGTTTTGAATGAATCATATGAAATTGGTTGCTGGACGGATAATTTTAAAAACAATTGTGATTACTTTTAGTTTCTAGTAGGCATGAGTCTTCTTTAAAATGGTTTTGCCTACCAAAAGTAAATATTGGAAATAGAATTAATTTAATATACCGGCTTAGAATAATTTTGAAACCCCAACTTTTTTCTAAACATTTGGTGGGGGAAGATGTAAATATTTGTTTTTATTTCTCAGCCAGTTGTAATTTTTAATACCCCAAATTACCATTCACAATAATGTATTTTGACAGCAAACATAAGAAACAGCTGATCTTACTGGGTGACCTTATCAATAACATTTGTTTAAAGTATAAAATTGTGTTCTTTCAAATACTATGGGGTTTTTGTAAGTCCCTCGAGTTCATTCGTTTCAAATCTTATAGAAACATGTAATAAATATTTAAACATTATACTAATACCTATCAAATATGCAAGATCGCTAATGCGTTCAATACTTTAAATAAAAAATTAAATTAATTGTCACAAAAATATATATTAACCAATAAATCTAATGGCTTATAACTAATATCTCCCAGTGAACCATGCTTTAAAGGGAAATTTCCCCATATTTTCTCTTTCCAAACCTAGTGTAAATATTATTATTACTTTAATATATCCTCTATTTTCCATAACCCCAAGTAATTTTATAACATTATAAGCAAACAAATATTTAACATTGTCCAGTGTGTATTTTTCTGTTAAAAACAAAAAACGTAATCCTAGTGTTTATTTAGTACAAACTTATTAATATATACGTTCATTTCTATATATATGTATTTGTGTAATTTTTAAAACAAAAAACAAAATATTTTAATTTAAGTTATATATACGTATTATATACCCTGTAATATTGTTGCAACAAAAATGAAATCGAAAAAAATAAATATAAAAATAATTATTATAAGTTTAACCCTTTTGTGTTTTGTGTGTCAATTGTTATTGTCCTGTCTTGTCCTTTGTCTCTGCGTCCAAAATGAAATTTAGTTTTTTGTTGTACAGCACCACCTGCTACTTATGTTTTATAAATGCACCTAGTACACCCAAGAGCAAACATTGTAACCCTGCAGCTTGAGTAAGTATTTATTTTATATAATAATGATTTTTTATAATTCACAATAACTTTAATTTAAAATGAGCACAATATTTTGAAAATTCTAATTAATATAACAAAATGTATATACGTGTTATAGACAGACAGAAATATTCATTCAGTGACAATGACATTTTAAATGCGGGTTTTATTAAAATATGTGTAAGGTAAACATTGTCTAAAACCTTTATTTAAATCAATTCACAATAGGTTATCTAACATACAGAGCGTTTGTTTCCAATCAGCTGATGCCACATGAAAATATTTTTTGAGTAATTTTTCCCAGTTAGAATTCGTAGATACGCAGTAAAATCTACTTTATACATCGACTTACATCTTACACAAATTAAATCCAATCATTATCGCCATTATCGGAATCTCGGAATCCTGTACTTAATCGATATCTTCATCAAATGCAACACTGTTTTTGTACCAAAAAAAAATACATCACACTTTTCCTAAAAGCACTGAAAATGGCAACGCTTTATCAAACTTCATAAAAATTAAAAATAGTTGTCTAACAAAAAATGACAGCAACTTAAAATTGTTAAAACAATATAAAATGAATATTTAACGACCTAAAAAACATACATGCAAAATTTATTAATAAAGTCATCCAGGTAGAACAGCTGGGCATATGCTGCTTCTCAAGTTTTCTGTCAAAATCCATTATTGTGAATTGATTTCCATTGTGTAAACAAAGTTGTTAGACCTAAAAAACAGCTGACTTTCGCTATTAAAAGATTTTGAGTGTGTCCGTTCCAAATCAGCTGATTCTACTTGTGTAATCGTTGTAACTTTAAATACAGCACTGATTTTGTACCAAAATATGCACCACCTTACTAAAAGTACCAAAATGTTAACAATCTATGTGGGAACATTCCAGGTCTATTAATAAGTTCATCCAGGGAGACCAGATGCATATTATCTGCCTCTCAAGATTGCTGTCAAAATCCTTTATTGTGAATGGACTTGCATTATGAAAACGTCCAAATTGTTGACATTAGATTTGAGAAAAAACAGCTGTCTTTCGCTAGCTGGGTGACATTATTAATAGATCTTGGGTACAATAAAACTCAAACTTGATGGCTAACAAAAAATGACAGCAGCTAAGAAATTTAGAAATTGTTAATATAAACCCTATTCAGACCCTGCTTAATTAATTGTGAGATCTGTCAATTTTGAAGAGAAGCTAGTATAAACATGTGCATGGGTCTGTTAAAGAATTTTTATTGGTTTAGTATTAGTTTCTCTTGTCCCTTAGAATATATA